CATAAAAATAAATGAATATACCAGTTCTTTTTTAAAAAGTTAAACAAAAAATCTATTTGTTAGGTGGCCAACTCGAGAAGCTAAAAAAAAAAAATGACAGAATAAAATGAAGAAAAGACTATGGAAAATATATTAAAAATAAATGAAGAAATTAGTGCAATAAAAAACAAAAGAAATAATTGAGGATAAACAAAATTCAGAACTGAATCTTTAGAGTAGAAGTTGAAAAGTCTAGAAAAATGAGCAAACTGCCAAATATGGAAAAAGACACCAGCAATATAATACAGGAAAGGGCACTAACCATAGTCACGGTGCAGATTTATTCCAAACCCATGAGTAATTTTATGCCAAAGAAAGCTGAAAGCCTATTTGAGATAAAACCATTTGTGGGGGAAAAAAAAAATATATATATATATACACAAAACTAATTAAATAATTATGACAAACTAAATAATTATGAAAGAAATAGAATTTGTGATCAAATATCTCCCTTCTCTTACCATCTCCCCTCCAAAAATAAATATATAAATAAGAACATATGATAATCCAAGTGAGTTTATCAAATCTTCAAAGGAAAGGATATTGCTTCTTTAGTGAAAAACAATATTGGAGGCTAGCATAACAGAGAAAGCTACTTTTTAGCTTAAGATGAGCTTTAGAAAACTCATAATTATGACATAATTATAGCCTGTTCTACACAATGATAGTACAAGAAAAAAAGTTAAAAATAAATGCCACTGAGATATATAGATGCAAATCTATAAATAAAACATTAACAAATTACATTCATTAATATATTTTTCAAAAAATTCTGTTATGATTCCAGTAGACACTGCTAGTTTTTCCTCAATATTTATTTTTTCCTCTTTATCCATCAAATTTTCAACCAGACACATAATTATCTACAGAGATTGCATTTCCAAGCCTCCCTTGCAGGAAAATATTGCAATGTGACTAGGAATCCAGTGGTTGGCAAGAAGCATTGCCACGTTGTAGTTTAGGAGAGTCTTACCTAGGTCACATCAAGATCTGTTGCCTCTTCCTTTTCCTATCTTATTTTCCTTACACCCACCATGATGCAGATGTTGTCATCTTGGGAGAGGCTGAGAGCCACATCTAGAGGTAGTGGAGCAATGAGCTGGAAGAAACTTCACCTGAAGAACTTTGTAGAACCAGGTTCCCATATTAATCAGCTTCTAGCTTTCCACAGAGTACAGGTGAATCTTCTGTTTTGTTTAAGCACTATTTCCATTTGCTGTTGTTGCTGTGTGAAAAATTAATTGAGATGAATTGGTTTTAAAAACTGCAAGGGTCAGAAAACACTCTTAAAAAACAACATCTAAATCCTTTACAAAATACAACCAAAGGCACAAAATATTTATTTATCTTTCATTGCTTTTACAAATAATTTAAAATAAATTATGTAAAAATTAGACAAAAATGCAAAATACTAATTACAGTAGCCATAAGTGAGTCGTGGGTTATTAGTCCTTTAATTTTTACTTTAAATAGCCTTTTTTATACCAAAAAATCATGACTAATATCAAAATGATAATGGATATCATAGTATATTTTCACAGGACCCTAGAAACAAGCACAAACATACACTGGGGGAAAAAGCACAGGACCCACCACACGAGGATGTGGGAATTGGTGCCATGGACACAACACAAATTTTAAAAATAAAACCAATAATTAATACAGATATAAGGAAAGAGGAAAATATAAAATTAGAGCACTTCAGTAGTATAATAATTGCTATAAGCAACATCCTCTGATGAATACTCAAATTAGTGGGTAAGAGTTTTAGGAAAAACAAGGTATTTGCATAGCTTCAAAGTATCTCCTCCAGAGTTTTATCGTGGTGGTTTAAAATATTTAAAGCACAAATTCTTTGAGATTTCTCTCTCCAGGAAGTGAAGTGTAATTCACCTCCCCTTGAATAGGGCCACACTTCTAATGAAGACTGTATGAAGGTGAGAAGACAACATCATGAGGAGAAACCTGGCAGATACCATTTAGCCAAGGGATTAATGTAACATCACCAGCAATAAGACACTAACATGATGTGCCCCTGAATAGCACATTGTATATAATTTTTCCCCAAAATCCAAAACCGGTAAAATCATGAGACAAGCATTAACCCAGGAACAGTCTACAAAATATCTGACCACTGCTTTTCAAAACTGTCATAAAAGGAAAAGAAAAACCAATCTGTCACAGATTGAAGGACATTAAGCAAACATAATTACAGAATGCCACATGGCATCCTGGGTTGGATTTTAGAATAGAAATGATATTAATGGAAAAACTGGAAAAATCCAAATAAAGCCAAAAGTTTAACTAATAGTATTTTAACAGTGCTAATTTGGGTTTGGTTTGTACCATCAATAGAAGCTGGATAAAGGGTAAAGAGAGAGGAATTCTCTGTACAGTTTATCTCAATGTCAAAACTTATTTCAAAATAATAAACTAAAAATATATCCAAATATATGGGAATTTTAAAAGTCATCCCTATGTCCTTAATGGGAGTCTTTTTGCTATATTTTCCTTGTTTAGAAATACACTTGGCTAAGATGCATTTTAGAAAAATAAAACATGCCCTTAAGGTATGGGTTCCCAGTTTTACTTTTAAAAAATCATCTCTTCACCTTGAAGGGTGCTTTCATCCCGCCTCAGATTGCCCTGGGAACTCCTATAAACAATCCTCTTAGCCAGGCTTGGCGGTGCCTGTCTGTAATTGCAGTCAGACCCTGTCTCAAATTAAAAATAATAATAATTATTATTATTATTATTATTATTATTATTATTAAAGGACAGGGGATGTGGCTCAGTCGTTAAGCATCTCTGGGTTCAATCCCTGGTACCAAAAGAAAAAAAATCCTCTTTCCATTGCAGGAAGTGACTCTGTCATGAGCTGTGACAACCAGAGCATCTTCTAAAGTGCCTTCGGGAACATCGTGGCCCCTGCTCCCGCCCACTGCCTATCTGCAGCCTCCCATTACTGGTCCAGCAGCTCTGCTTTTGCGTCTCCTTCTGTCCTGTCTCCTGCCAGTGTTTCTTCTGCAGATGGTTTCTACAAACTCTTCTTATTCTCACTCCACCTCACTGCTCATGCTCCCACACTTGATCTAAGTGTAGGCCCTGTGAGTTTTTAAAGTCAGGGGGAGGTGGAAGTGCTATTTCTCCATGCTTCTTCTTACAGAGGGCATCTCTGAGCTAAGAGGCACTGGTAAATCATTTAGTAACCCACCAAGTATCTGTAGTGGGCACTGGACCAGGAACCAGGGGTAGGATACAATGATGAGCAAAGCAAGTGAGGAGAGTGGTGTCAGACTGAAGGAACCATGACATTTCCCCTCATACTCTTGGAAGCCTAGATCAGCAAAAGTGGGGCAAAGCCTGACAAATCAGAGTTTCTAGAGATTCCAGAACTTCTATGAGAGAAACAACCAGAGAAGAACAGCTGTTTATTAGTCTGTGTTCAAGGAGAATGTTTAGGGCTCAGAAACAGAGATTTTTAAATGAAATGGTAACATCTTACCATTTCATGCTGGAAAAAAAAAAAACTTCATAAGGTTTTGCCTTATTTGAAAGAAGCCTTGAGTAAAGGAAAAACCAACGTCATAAATATTTTTGGAGACATGTCACCTACCAAACCTGCTTTATTATTACTATATTAAAGTGATATGTGTTCATAAAAGTGAATTCACTCTGAATTGGGAAATCCATTTTATCATTCTGTGTCCTGTATTTACATTTTAAAGCCAGAAACAATCTCCTCAAGAGAAACGTGATTCTTCCTTCATTTGTTTCAGCTTTAATAGTCCAAAATATGATAGTCAAGTCCAAGGTGTTATTTTACCCTCAGGTAGATTAGCCTACCCTGTAAAGGAACTGGGAAATTTTCCTTCAACTTTTATTTTCCAAGTGTTTCATTAAAATAAAAGGTAGCTGGACAGTGGCACACACCTGTAATCCTAATGGCTCAGGATACTGAGGCAGGAGGATCGCGAGTTCAAAGCCAGCCTTAGCAATTTAGCCAGGCACTAAGCAACTCAGTGAAACCCTGTCTCTAAAATACAAAATAGGGCTGGGGATGTGGCTCAATGGTTGAGTGTCCCTGAGTTTAATCTCCAGTACCAAAATAAATAAATAAATAAAATGTAAATGTGTGTGTGTGTGTGTACATGTGTAATCACTTACATGAAATTAAAGGAATGTGTTACCTCAAGTAATTAATTCTGCAAACAAAGTCCTACTGCTTAAAAATTGGTGTCTTATTGCTTTATTATTCGCCTTTAATAGTAAGAACATCAAAAAATGTCACAGTTGAGTCAGCCTTGCACACCAAAGGAATCCACGCAGGTCTAGGTGGTATTACCTTAGTGGGCAAGAATATGAACTCTGGGGCCATGTGATTTGGGTTTGAATCCCAGTTCTATCACTCTCGAGTAGTATGCCTTGGACAGGTAATTCATCCTTTATATGCCTGAGATTCCTCATCCACAAATTAGCAATGACAAAAGCACATGCCTCATAAGGTTGTTGTGAGGTTTTCATGTGATAACATATAAATTGTGAGGACACTGCCTAGTGCAAAATAGGAAAATATACCTATAAGACTTTAACACGTGAGTCTTTGTAGTATTATTTTCAGTCAGTTTTCTGAACTCACAAGTGAAACAAAGCTACATGGTGTTTGGAAGGCCAATTTTCAAATTAACCAAGCCTGCCAAAGGGTATGGCTCTCACTCCCACATCAATGGGTTATAAAAGACAGCTTAAGCAAGTGCCTCCCTGAGCCCCTTTGATTGAACTAATACCAACATGCCTGAAATTAGGGAGAGGATTAGGAACCAAATTTTCCCATTATTTGCATTGGCCCATTTAGAGCTAAGAATTCTGAGATAAACAAATGGAGTGAATTTGGAAATGATGTATCAACTGCTTCCTTCTATGACATGAATAGTGGCAGTTATCAAGGATCTGCCCATCAAATGCTTAGGAGACGTTTTCTTCCAGACTCCAGAGAGGAGCAACAACTCAGGATGGCTGAACCCTGCAATTCCCCAGAAAATGAATTGTCACTATTTGCCTTCATCTTAATTTTTACCATTATAGGTGCTGAATGCATGATTGGTATCATTGCAAATGGATTCATCATGGCTATAAACGCAGCTGCATGGGTTCAGAAAAAGGCAGTTTCCACCAATGGCAGGATCCTGCTTTTCCTGAGTGTATCCAGAATAGCTCTCCAAAGCTTCATGATGCTTGAAGTTATCTTGAGCGATACATCCCCAATTTTTCTTAACAAAGATGTTTTATATGATTCATTCAAAGTAAGTTTCATGTTCTTAAATTATTGCAGCCTCTGGTTTGCTGCCTGGCTCAGCTTCTTCTACTTCGTGAAGATTGCCAATTTCTCCCACCCACTTTTCCTTAAGCTGAAGTGGAGAATTTCTGGATGGATACCCTGGCTCCTGTGGCTGTCCTTGTTTATTTCCTTCATCTCCAGCATGCTCTTCTGCAAGGACATCTACCCTGTGTATTGCAACAATTCTTTTACAGTGCCCTTCTCCAACTCCACAAAGAAAGTATACTTCACTGAGACCAATGTGCTCAACCTGGCTTTTTTCTTTAACCTGGGGATTCTTATTCCTCTGATCATATTCATCGTGACAGCCACTCTGCTGATTGTCTCTCTCAAGAGACACACCCTTCACATGAAAAATTGTGCTACTGGCTCCAGGGACCCCAGCATGGAGGCTCACATGGGGGCCATCAAAGCAACCAGCTACTTTCTCATTCTCTACATTTTCAATGCCGTTTCCCTATTTCTCTATGTGTCCAACATCTTTGATGCCAGTAGTCCCTGGAACATTTTGTTCAAAATCATCATGGCTGTCTACCCAGCTGGTCACTCAATGCTACTGATTCAGGACAACCCTGGGTTAAGAAGAGCTTGGAAGCAGCTGTGCTCTCAAATTCATCTTTACCCCAAAGAGAAGATTCTGAGATCATCACCTAAAGAAGAACATAGAACTTGACCCAACCAGACCTTCGCTCCCCTTACCTCTCTCACTCCCTCTCTCTCCTTTCCCTCCTCCTTTCTCCCTCAAACCTGATCTGATTCCTTTCATCTAATATTGGTTTTCTTTTGCTTCATGGGCACAATATGTTTTTGGAGGGGGGAGCAGATACCAGGAGTTGAATTTAGGGACACTCAACCACTGAGCCACATCCCCAGCCCTATTTTGTATTTGATTTAGAGGCAGGGTCTCACTGAGTTGCTTAGCGCTTCACTTTTGTTGAGGATGGTTTTGAACTCACAATCTATTACTCTATCTAAAGCAATGATTTTAGACACTGACTACACATCAGAATCTCTATGGTTGGCTTGAAAACACCATGACCCTCAGGTCCAGCCTTGGACCTTGTAATCAATTAAGTCAGAATTTCTGGTGTTGAAACTTAGATAGTAGTCTAAGTTCTCAGGTGATTCTGAGCTGCAGCCAGGGTTGATATAGCCACCAAGAGAGCAGGTTCTGAATTTTGAGTTCCTAAAAACTCTCTTTCCCCTTCCATGTGCCTTTTAAGCACATTCAGATTCCTTGGGAAGCTTTCTAAACAAAAGCTGGAAATGCATTTTGGCTCCATTCCTCCAAACACATAAACTGAATAATTCAGAAATCATTATCAAAATTAACAGTGCATAAAATTCTTTTCAACTAGAAATTACTGTCTAAATTTTTTCCTGTAGCTACAATTTTATAAGTGTGTAAGTATGCAAAAATATGTGCAAGAAGATCTTCCTTGTAGCATTGTTCATTCATGAGAGGAGTTGTATGCCTTAAATGGAATATTGTGTTGACCTTGTGAAAAAGTGATGAATGCATGTACACAGACTAGTAGATTCCAATACGTTAAGTACAAAATATAAGAAGATACTGTATTGCTCCATTTATCTTTCTGATTTTACAGAAATATATGTTTTGTGTGTATTTAGATGTATGTATAAAATTTCTGAAAGAATCTACCAAAAATTATTGACAAAGAACTCAAGTAGTGACATTTTGTGTGTGGAACACATGAAACATTTGTAATTTGTTTTATTTTTCTCTGCATTGTTTGAACTACCTAGAGCATTTATGCACTAATATAAATTTTATATTGATTTTTTAATCAGGAAGTAAACTTGGTAAGTAGGAGAGATATGAATGAGGATGTTGTTCACCTTAGTTCATTAATGTACTCACTGTTGAGTTTTTATTAAAGAAAAAAATTCAAACCTTCAAAATCACCAGTGAAGCATCTCGTTCTTCCATCACTCACTACCTCTTATTTCCCCACTTTATTTGCTCTGAGACTCTCATAGAAAAATAATAGTCTTACTCTGCATTAGTATTTCTATGCTCTTGGTTCTTCCTCTCTTCACTTTCTTTTATGCTCAGTTTGGGTTACTGGTCATCATTATGACAACCTTCTTAAAAATACTTTCAGTATTTGCAGACAAAATGGACTATGTTTCAGATTTTCTTTGAAGAGTCCAGCAGAAGACAAATTAGTGGAAAGAAGGGAGGTTTAAATCAGTCATATGCTGATGATCCTTTTTCAGGTTTCAGGTACAAGGTTTTTCTTTGTATAATTGTCTCTACTGCCAATTTCCCCCCCAATATAATTTTTATATAAAAGACTATAATTCCCTGGCCCTTCTCCCTCTTCAATCCCACAGTGTGGGATGATTTCACACTTAGATTAACCCAACCAGCACTTCGCATGTTCTTCTAAGCAACTGAAATTGCTTGAGAGTATTTCATAACTGGAAAAACTTATGCTCCTACAAATATATACCATACACCCACATGAGCAAAATCAGTGAGCATTTATACCCTGTATTTTCCTAAAGAATCACTCATTTTCAACTGATGAAATCTCTAAATTATTTAACAGAAGTGATTGGAAGGATATTCCTTCTTTTCATTAGCAAATGTGCTAAACCACCAATTTCCCCCCTACATTTCCAATATTTCACTAAAATATAAAAAGTTCCACTCAAATATTTTAGTTTTCTCCTTCCACTATACTTCTTCTTCCTGCAAGTTCCATTTTCTGTGTGCTTTAGTTGCTTTTCTTTTTAAGACTGAGTCTATTGAGTCTTTCTTCAAATATCTGGCAATCCTTAGTGTCAGCACTAAGAACTAATTCAAAATTTTAAAATTAATTTTTATTTTTATTTTTATTTATTTTATTTTTATTGATTTTTTTTTTAGATAGGTTGACAGTAGAGTGTATTTGGGCATGTTATACATACATGGAGTATAACTTATTGTAATTAGGATCCCATTCTTGCAGTTGTCCATGATGTGGAGTTTCACTGGTGGTGTACTCATATATGAAAATAGGAAAGTTATGTCTGATTCATTCTATTGTCTTTCCTATGCCCGTCCTCCTTCCCTTCCCTTAAAAATACTTTACAGTATAAAAATTGCATTGATATCTCAATGTGAGAGGTATTTCAAAATTAGTGCATTCAAGGCTGGATTTTTAATTTTTCTCCCAAAAGTCATTCCTCTTTCAGTTTCCTCCAACTCATTAAATGGTGTCACAACACTTGCAGTTGATGGAGCTGGAATGTCAAGAGTCATTCCTGGGTCATCTTGCTGATGAATCAGATGGTCCCTCATGCAGTTCTTGTCTGTGATGGGCATCACCTGTGTCATTCATTTGTTAACTCAGCAATCACTGGTTGAACACTGACTTGAACAGCAGATGCTATCCAAGGTGCTGTGTGCACAGTACTGAGCAAAACGGGGAGGACGCTAGTCATCACAGATCTCGGAGTCTGGCAGGACAAGGAGGACATTGTGGTGGCAGTGTTAGAGGTGCCCAGCCAGGAATAGCCTGGAAGAGTATGTTTTGAAGAAGAAACAATGATAAAAGAATATAAATCTAAGCAAGAATTCAGGAGAATCATTACAAAATAAATATGAGGAAATCATGAAGAAAAATTGTTTCCTGAAATGTTGATTTAATAAAGATCAAAAAGGCAAGTTAAGATGAATACAAGAACTGGTTCATTGGAAAAATAAAATAAAATTAGTATTGTCAGCATACATACTCTGGAAAGAAAGACAAAAGGCATAAATACACAAAATATGAAATAAAAGAAAGCAAACCACAAATTGGAGAAATTTAAATACTCTGCAGAAATTATTTTGTTCATGTGATTTTGAAAACCTTGATAAGTAGATGTGCCCATAAAAATGTATTTTACTAAAATTTACCCTAAGGAAGGTGGAAAATCCAAAACAAAGAATCAGCATTATTGATCTGGGAAAGTGATAAAGTGACACTTCCCCCAAATTGCCAGGACTGGATATTCACAAGGAAATTTTGCCAACTTTTTAAGAACACATCATTTCAAGCAAATTTGCTTCATAGAATAAAAGTTAAAGGAAACTTCCAAATTTTTTATGAAATTAATTAATATCAAAACCCAACAAAAGGTTCCACTCAATATTAAAAAAAAAACAACAATAATTATCTCACTGAAAACTAGAAAGCAAATTCACTTGTCAATATTTATGCAAAACTACTAAGTAAAATTTAACAGAATCAGAACATAAGTTTATCCCATAAAAGTAAAGAGAATTAGTATTAGAAAATATTTCAACACAATTTAGAGAGAAATCATATAATAATGTTCATAAATGCTAAAGTAGAATAAAATCCAACATTTATTCCTAATTATTTTTTTAAATTTTTAAATAAGAATAGATGAATGAGTTCTTTTTTTAATATTTATTTATTTATTAGTTTTCGGTGGACACAACATCTTTGTACGTGGTGCTGAGGATTGAACCCAGGCCGCACACATGCCAGGCAAGCGCGCTACCACTTGAGCCACATCCCCAGCCCCATGAGTTCTTAACATGATAAAATTTATCTGTCTCAACTTCTTAGCCAGCATAATTTTTCAAAGAGGAAATACTATTATTTCTATTAAATTCAAGAGAACACTATGTCATTTGCATTTATAAATGTGTCAAAATGAACCCATTATGTAAAATTATAATACACAGAAAATAAAAATAAATAAATAAAGTACTTCTGAGGAACACAACAGAAGACTTGAAATAGCAGAAAGGCCACCCATGTTGTTAAGTGGAAAGGGTCAATGTCAATAAATATCAGATTTTGTTAATGAACTTATGTTTCATGTGATTTTGACAAAAATGCCCCCCGAGATTGGGAAACTGCTCATAAATTATCTGTAAAATAAAACAAAATCTCTACAAAGATTTTTAAAATAAAAAAGTAATGAATGAGGAGAATTAACAAATAGCAGATATATTTCCAACCTAATATATACAAAATATTGTGATGTTAAAAAATGAATAGCCAGAAAAACAGGATTAGTATCCAGGAAAAGGAGAATCTTGTGTATGATAAAAGTCTGTATTGCAAAACAGTAATAAATTATGTATTACTCAATAAATGATATTAGAATACCTAAATAGCCAAGTATGTAAAGATAAATTTGGATGCCACTCCTACATCTTATACCAGATACAAAGCAAATGGATCAAAGACATAAGGCTAATAAATGAAGTACTAGAAGAAATCTTGGAGATTTCAAAATGACCTTTCTAAATACAATAGAAGAAAAAGTAAACACAAAGTCAAAAACAAATAAGAAACTGAAAAATAATATCTGCCATTCACATCCCAGATAAAGGCTAATTTCCTAATATATTAAGAATTCATACAAATCAGTAAGTCCAATTACTGAATTTTAAAGCAAGGAATATGAACTGGCCATTACAGAAATGAAATAAAGGTACCTCTTAAGTATAAAAAAACCTAAAGAATAAACATTTTAATTTACCCATTATCTTCCAACCCAGGACAACTTTTATTAACATTTTTAAAAAGCATATGTGTCATTTAACAAAGTTTGTCTCAGTTAAATATAAAGTTTTTATAAACTTTCATAATATTTGAATACTCTGTTAAACCTCAGTATCTTAAGTATCTTAGTTTGTTT